TTCACCTAGGTAAAGCTACAAGGCCTTTACTATTTTCTTATGTGTTGTACGTTTGTGTACACTCTTGTGTTTTGTGTTGTATGTCTGTATGTGCGTATGTCCATATTTCTTATATGAGGAGCGCTCATGAAAAAATGGATCCGAATTATTATTATTTTTTTTATTCACGTGATTTAAATGGTTTAATTTAAATTATGTAAACAGCTGTTAAGGATTGTTTTTAAAGGTGGTTAACAGATCTGTTTGTTTACTAATTTAAATTAGGTAAAAAGCTGTTAAGGATTGTTTTTAAAGTAGGTTAACAGATCTGTTTGTTTACTTTCACCTTTCCTTTTCATTATATTTAATAATTCTTTTCAGGATAATGTCTCTTTAGCATCATTGCCAGAATTCCTATCTCCATCCCAGTGCCGGTGAAGAACTCAACAAGTAATGCTCAATCAAAGAGTCAACTTACTTTGGGAGGAAACGGATTTTGGGAGGAAATGGACATATTGATAGATTCCTCTGCTTTGAACTGCTTGCAGAACTTGCCTGGACTATGTAACTATCATTTGGTGCAGCGAATTGTGGTAATGCTGGCATATCTTTGCTGATGGTGTCACTAGTGATGCAATTTTTATTTCCTTGCCAGCGCACCCCATGTTAATTGTGGTAGTGCTGGCATATCTTTGCTGATGGTGTCACCAGTGATGCAATTTTTCCCAAGGAGCCGTCAATTGGCTTGGTGTCGTGGCATTTCTGTATCCTCCTCCCTTCTGCTAGTGATGGTCTAAGATTTGGGGGCCAATGGCTTATGCTGGACCGGTAGTCAGTGACGGGTATGATCCAATTGCAGTGGTATCAACCTAAGACAGGAGGCTGACGCCTAAAGGTCAGTTTTCCGATGACGGGTAAGAACCATATGTTGAATTGGACAACCTACCAGGCACGGTCCATAAGCCACATTAACCTCACTCCCCCACTGGCACCAAGGCCAAATTTGGGGGCCAACAGAGGTGAGGCAAAGAACCTCACCCCCCCACTGGTGCATAGACCTATCCACAAGTATGGCTGTATGCTGGACCAGTAGTCAGTGACGGGTATGATCCAACTGCAGTGGTACCAACCTAAGACAGGAGGCTGACGCCTAAAGGTCAGTTTTCCGATGACGGGTAAGAACCATATGTTGAATTGGACAACCTACCAGGCACGGTCCTTAAGCCACATTGCTTGTTGTTTAATTAATCAGAAGGGGGGAGATGCTGGGAGCCATTAGCCAAGTAGGTATGACAATTTCCTTGCCAGCGTACCCCATGTTGCTGACATGTTGCAGTGACATTGAATGTAGGTGACCTTGCTCAAGGACCAAGGCAGATTAGGGTGTTCCCGGTTTTAAGATAATCGTGTTTAGGGCGTTCCCAGTTTAGGTTCCAGGTTTAAGGTTTAAGATTATTCCTGCTGGGAATAGGGCGTATCCTGCTGCCTGAGTTCCCCTTGAGTTCTCACGGGATTCAGACAGTATATTTTGGAGATAGAAGCCCAGTGCAGGTGGATTTGGGCAGAGAACGTGGATTTCCCCAGAACGTGATTGTAGACGGCTGGTGTGAGTTCGGGAATAAAGAGTTGCTGTTTGAATCTACAAGCTGTGTGGTGGCTCGTGATTGTGTGCCCAGCCAGACTTCGGCATTTGTGCCCAGCCAGACTGCGGCAAATATCATGACTGATTTTTCTATTTGTATAATGAACATCATTGGAATTTTAAAAGGAATTGCATCAAATCTGCCTAGTACTTTTGGAAGTGTGACCATTTTGACAATATTAATTCTGCCTATCCAAGAGTATGGAAGAGCTTTCTATTTTCTAAGGTCTTCTTCAGTTTCATTTTTAGTGTTCTGTAGTTTTCATTGTAGAGTTCTTTCACCTGTTTTGTTAGATTAATTCCCAAGTGTTTTATTTTTTTAGGCTATTGTGAATGGTACAGTTTTCCGAATTTCTCTTTCAATTGATTCATCCTTGGTGTATAGGAATGTATTAATCTATGGATATTAATTTTATATCCTGATGGTTTGCTGAATTCATTTATGAGATCATGAAGACATCGACAAATTTCTAGGGACATATGACCTACTCAAATTGAATCAGGAGGAAATAAAAAACTTAAACAGATCATTTTTAAGCAATTAAATTGACGATGCCATCAAAAGCCTACCAACAAAGAAAATCCCAGAACCAGATGGATTCCCAGCCAAGTCCTACCAGACCTTCAAAGAAGAATTTACAACAATACTCCTCTAATTACTCCCTGAAATATAAAAGGAGGGAAACTTCCAAATTCATTCTATGATGGTATCATCCTGATACCAAAGCCAAACATGTGTATGTATTATGGGGAATTTAGGGGAGGAGTTGGTCTGGAAAATGTTTGAATTTTGTTTTCATTTTTAAAGAATATTTTCACTTAGTAAATACTTACTGGTTGGCAATTATTTTCCTTCAACATTTTCTTTTAACTCTTTTTTATATTCTGGTACCCCTTGTTTCTGATGAATAGTCACTCTCTGTTTCTTTGCTGCTTCTTTGAGGAAGATGTGACCTCCAACTTACACTTACCTTCCCTTTTCTCTTATCTTCTGCCTCCTGACCATCCCACTGCCCTCCCTATGTGGCCTTGTATAATGTGTCATTCTTTTTGTCTCTAGGACCTGTGAATACAATAAACTTTGTTTTCCTGAGCCTCTTCTGTGTCTACTTTTGTAGCTGCAGCTTACTATTCATCTCATGAAAATAGGTTCATGAGGAAATAGGTGTTTGTTTTTTCCTTTGGCTGTTTTTTTTTTTTTATTATTATTTCTCTTGATTGTTGGTTTCCATGATTTTATGCTGAGACTCTTATATGTGCCTTTCTTTTTATTTACCCTTCTTCACATTATAGATCTCCTTGAATCTGTGGCTTGATATCTTTCTTAAATTTCAGGAAATTATTCAGTATTAGTAATTTTCTTCTTCTAACCCCTTTCTTCTATCTTCTTTCTCCTCTCTCTCTCTTGAGTATCCAGTTATACATATGCTAGATTTTTCTACTATGCCACCTACAGTGTTTAGAGTCTTTTATTCTCCTTCCTTTTTTCTCTTCATATATATTTGTAATCTTTCTGTAGATCTGCCTTCCAACCTGTTAAGCCTTTCTGCAAACTCGTTTAATCTGCTGATCAATCCATCTATTTAGTTCTTAATTCCAGTCATTGTAGTTTTCAGCTCTATAAGTTTCATTTTCTTTTTCAACATACTTTCTAGTTCTCTGGATACATGTGTTCCACTTATCATCTGGTTATATATGTTCAGGGACATGTAGCATCAGTTATTTTAGAGACTATGGTGATAGCACTTATATTTGGATCATCTGGGAACATTTAATTGTCCATCCTTGTCTCCAGGTTCTGTTTCTTAACATTTCTTACAATTTTTTATTAAATGTCAAATTATATATATACATACATGTAATTTGACATATGTGTGTATGTGTGGATAGATAGATAGATAGATAGATAGATAGATAGATAGTCTTTGGGCAATGTTTTATTTGCTGGAAGAGGATTCACAGTGTTTTTCAGAAGAAACCTACACTAGGGAAGATTTCCTTATGTCAAAAATGGATTAAAACAATTTTGTTGGACTTAAGACTTGGTAAGTCTTATATGAAATCTGAGTTAATTCCTTTTTAAATTTTTTTTCCCTCATGGCCCCAACAAAGACCCTGGAGATTTTATCAACAAGCTTTCTCCTTCATGGGTCCCAGACTCCAATGTTCAACTCAAAAACACTATTAGATTGCCAAAATCTCATGATATTTTTAGTCATTTTTTGCTCAATTTTCTGACCTCTTACTCTGACTACCCTAAGAATCAGCAAATGTTTTATATAGGAAAACCAATGACAACTTGGAGATCACTCACCTGTACCCTTCTTCAATTAAAGGACTTGGGCTCTCAAGGACAGCATATGTTGGCAGATACAAAATCCAAATTTTAGCTTTTCAGATAGTTTCAAAATCTATTTTCACTTTTCTCCCTCTTATCATCAGCCCTTCACCCATTAGGAGGCAACAATTAAGAAACAGTAAATCCACAGGAAGGAAGAAGAGGAGCACAAAATATTTAGCTCATTTAAATGATCCTTTTTCTCTAGAAATTTAACTCTTCATATACTGACTTCCTTAAAAATAGTAAAATTCATTAAAAATTGTTTAATTTATCCAGCATTTATAAATTTCTTAGACATTAGTTATTCCAGTGTAGCTAACACTCAATATTAACTTTGGTTTGGTTTGGTTTTTATGTATTTTGGCTTCCTGGATCAGGTGGAAGCTCTAGGAGAGCAAGAGTGTTTGTTCTGTTCACCAATTCAACTGTGTCTAGAACAGTGCTAAGGAAATACTAAGCAACAGGAATGAATCAAATTGAATACCATGCTGTAACCACGGTTTTAAATTTTTCTTTTCATTATGTTTAAGATGTTTGACATCTTAAAGAAAAACTTTCTGGCTGGAGACCCTCCAGTGTCTAGCCAATTCTTGGACATAGTAATGGGCCCAGCTGGGAACATGCCTTTCAAACTAACTAGTTTAGAGCCATTACTCCTCTATCTGTCCCATATACCCAGGAAGCAATATCCCTCTGCCTCAGTCATTCTAGGACCAAGTGCCAGTCAAGTAGGGATTTCCCCTTGGCACTAAAGCCTGAAGAGATTATTGAAGTTGTCTGTGCTGTTCACCCTGCCCTGAACAGGAAATCTTGACTTTTCTATGGAAATCTTAATAAAGGCTGTGACATCGACCTTCCCTTTTCTCCTATCTTCTGCCTCCTGACCATGCCTGTGTCTTCCTTATGTGTCTTGCATGATGTGTCATTCTTTGGTCGCTAGGACCTGTAAGTACAATAAACTTTATTTTCCTGAGTGTCTTCTGTGTCTCTATAGCTGCAGCTTACTAATTATCTCATGAAAGAATACACAAAATGATCTTTGGGGAACCTATAATTCATTTTATTACAAGAAAATGGGACTTATAATTCTCTACTTATGAACTTTTTGACAGTCAATTACATGATATATGTTTTAAAAGTTAAAAAATGGAAAAGAAATGTCTCATCACGAGAAAAGAACACATACATAGGCAACTCTCATTTTATGCTATTTTGTAAATGCTACCAAAAAATGTGATTTCTCTTTCAGAAACATATAATTTTACATACATACACACAACATGTATACATATGATAAGTTTATTTTGTATTATCACAATCTTTTCAATAATTCTAATTTCCTGCCACCCTAATTTAATCAATTCTGGATAAATATTTGTAATTCAATTCTTCTTGTAAATCTAGAATCATTTTTTTAAATGAGTTTAGCTTCTGTGTTGATTTGTGTATATGGCTTTATTACTGAAATATCTTCTTTATGAATTATGACAGTTATCACTGATTAACATATAATCTTATTTGATACTTTAAAGTTAACTAGAACTTTCTTTTAGATTCCTTCTGCTTATCTCTCTACAACTTTTTAGTTTAAACTTTTTCTTTGTTTCAAGTACTACTTATAAATAACAGAGTTTGACTTAAAAATCACTTTTAAAGTTCTTTTTGTTTGTTGTTTTTAGATATAAGTAACAGTAGAGAGTATTTTGACATATTATACATATATAAAGTATGACCCATTCCAGTTAAGATCCCATTCTTGTGTGTGTGTGCATGATGTGGAATTGTCTATTCATTTATGGTTGTCTATTCACTTATGAGCATTCATTTTGATTCATTCATATGTTCAATTCGTTGTACTGCCTTTCCTATTCCCATCCCCACTTCCTCCCCTTCATTCTCCTTTGTCTAATCCAATGAACTTCTATTCTTCTCCTCACTACCCTTCCTTGTTGTGGGTTATCATCCACATATCAAAGTGAGCATTCAGCCTTTGGTTTTGGGGGACTGGCTTATTTCACTTAGCACATTTTCCAGTTCCATCCATTTACTGGTGAATACCATAATTTCATTCTTCTTTATGGCTGAGTATATATACTACATTTTATTTACCCATTCATCTGTTTAAGTGCACCTAGGTTTGTTCCATGGCTTGGCTATTGTGAACTGAGCTGCTATAAACATTGATGTGGCTGTGTCACTGTATGCTGATTTTAAGTCCTTTGGATACAAATCGAGGAGTGGGATAATTGGATCAAATGGTCATTCCATTCCAAGTTTTCTAAGGAACCTTCTATATAGACTGCTTTCCATAGTGATTGTACCAACTTCAACTTGCAGTCCTAACAGCAATGTATAAGTGAACCTTTCTCCCCACAGCCTCAGTGTAGTTTTAATTTGCATTTCTCTAATTGCTAGAGATGCTGAACATTTTTTCATATATTTTGACCACTCATCTCTCTTTTTCAGTGAAGTGTTTGTTCAGTTCCTTTGCCCATTTATTGATTGGGTTGTTTGTTTGTTTGTTTTTGGTGTTAAGTTTTTTGAGTTCTTTATATATCCTGGAGATTAATGTTCTATCTGATGTGCAGGTGGCAAAGATTTTCTCCCATTCTGTAGGCTTTCTGTTAATGTTCTTGATTTTTTCCTTTGCTATGAAGAAGCTTTTAAGTTTGATGTGATCCCATTTATTGATTCTTACATTTTAGGAGTCTTATTGAAGAATTTGGTTCCTAAGCTGACACAATGGAAAGTTGAGCCAACTTTTCTTTTAGTAGGTACAGGGTCTCTGATCTAATGCCTAGGTCCTTGATCTACTTTGAGTTGAGTTTTATGTAGGTAAGAGACATGGGTTCAATGTCAATCTACTATCTATGGATTTCCACTTTTCCAGGACCATTTGTTGAAGAGGCTATCTTTTCTCCAGTGTATGTTTATGGAGCCTTTGTCTAGAATGAGATAACTAAATTTATGTGGGTATGTCTCTGTGTCTTCTATTCTATTCCTTTGGTCTTCATGTCTGTTTTTCCAGTACCATGGCTTTTTGTTACTACAGCTCTGTAGTATAATTTAAGGTCTGGTATTGTGATGCCTCCTGCATCACTTTTCTCACTAAGAATTGCTTTGGCTATTCTGGGTCACTTATTTTTCCAAATGAATATCATGACTGCTTTTTCTATTTGTATGAAGAACATCATTAGAATTTTAATACAATTTACATTAAGTCTGTATAGTGCTTTTTGTACCTTGGCCATTTTGTCAATGTTAATTCTGCCTAACCCAGAATATGGGAGATTTTTCCATTTTCTAAGGTCTTCTTCAATTTCTTTTTTAGTGTTCTACAGTTTTCATTGTAGAGGTCTTTCACCTGTTTGTTAGATTAATTCCCAAGTTTTCTTGTTTTGGTTTTGGAATGTTTTGTTTTGTTTTTGTTATGTGTGAATGGGATAGCTCTTGTGAATGGGACAGTTTTCCTAGTTTCTCTTTTGGCTGATCCATCACTAAAGTATAGGAATGCAATTGATTTAGGTGTGTTAATTTTATATCCTGCCACTTTGTTGAATTCATTTCTGAGTTAAAGAAGCTTTCTGGGAGAGTTTTGTGGGCCTTCTAAATATAGAATCATGTCATTGGCAAATAGGGATAGTTTGAGCTTTTCCTATTCACTTTAAATTATTTCTTTTGTCTAATTGTTCTAGGGTTTCAAAGACTATTTGTTTTGGGGGGATTAGCTAACTTCACTTAGCATAATCTGCTCTAATGCTATCCAAATCTTATTAGAGCATCCAAGCTCTTCTTTTTAATGAGATTACCCCTGTTCATGTCTTATCTGTTTTCTGATGAGATCTGTGACCTTGGTGATCTTTTTGAGCTGTGGTAATTACTAAGCTATTCAATTATAATATTTTGTGTTTGTTGTTTACCTTTGTGTGTTGCTAGAAGATAACTTCTTTGCTTGCCTTTTTTCCCTGTCTCTCTCCCGCCCTGCCTTCCTTTACTTTCTTCCATTCCTTAAATTTTTTTAATTGTTCATTCTTTCTACACTATGTATTACCTTTACAATTAACAAAAATAAGTGTTCGAAATGTTAACTTTTACTCTAAACTAAATCTATAAAGTGAATGAAAATTTTATGTTCATACAGTCAATAATTATACTTCCAAAATATTTGTGTAGGATTTGGAGACAGAGGGAAGTAAAGATTGAGAGAATTCAGCTGAGGAAATTTCGATGAAAATACATGAACTTCCTTCTGATTTTAGAGTTGAAATAGAGTCATAGACCTCTTGTAGTTAGCTCTTCAGGGCATTATTTCTGAAGTTTCATAACTTTTGTTCATATTTCATCTCTGAGGCAATTTAAAGTTGTGCACAGATGTTCAGAATAGTCTTTAATAGCAGAATATTTAAATTGCCTTCTAAATCCTGAAGCAGATCTTTAGGATCTTGTGTATCTCCACAATGAGCAGTATTTCAACCTTTGTTTTCAGGGAAAATTTAATTTGACCTGTTCCTAAAATTTATTGCTAAATATTAGTTTTCTTCCTAATGTTAAACTAAAGAAATGTAATGACACTTTATCTGAACAAGAGGAATTGAATTACACTTAATCTTAGTAATCATTTTTTCACACCTAGAAATCATATCCACATATTGTGTTTCAGTGCATATCAAGGAGTCAATAAATTTCTGTGACAAAGTGGTTACTTACTGGTAACTGCCTTTTTGGAGGTTAAGTTACTAATGAGGATATGTGAAGACTGGCTATAAGTATAAGAGACACAACGAGCTATTAATTTTACAGTCTATAAAGCAACCTCTGGTTTAGAGGTAAATTACTGGAAGAACAAGAAATAAATTTATCAACTAGAAGAACTACTTGAACTGAAGGTTTAAATATTTCAACATAGTCTTGCAAGGTAGTGGCTAGCCTCAGTAAAACCCTGTCTCAAAATAAAAAATAAAAAAATAAATCTCGGGATGTAGCTCAATGGTAAACTGCCTCTGAGTTAAATTATATACCCAGTGCCAAATAAATAAATAAATAGCATGTGATGGCTAAAGTAGATTTGTAGATTAATGCAAAACTGCAATAGAAGCTCTCTAATAGAAAATATGAGTGAAGCATTTGGGTATTTTCTCTGGGACTTTTTTTCACAATAGAGAGCTATGTTAATTTTTAAGGATTTGATGCATTATTGCCTATGAAATACTGTATTTATGCACAAAAAAACATAAAAAGGTACACAACTTCCTACCTTGATACTGCAAAAACCTACAGAATGTTAAGAAAACAAAAAGTTTGCAAGTACCCATATCTTGATGGCAGGTGACCTCTCTCTACATCTTATGTTACTGTCTTGTACCTTGAAAAATCTTTATGAGCATCTAATAATTTTAACATAATACACAAAACAGCAAAGTTAAAGTAACCAAAATTCCAATGTAATTCTCAAGTTTGAACAATGTCCAATTAGTTCACAGCACAATATATACATTCACTTGCAAATTAATATTCTGCTCAATAAATTTTTTAATGCCTCCTTCACATCCTTGTTCCTAAGACTGTAGATTAAAGGATTCATCATGGGAGTCATCACCCCATAGAACATGGATATAAGTTTGTCTGTTGCATCCAGACCATCTGAATTAAGTATGTCTTTAGACTTGGGTTTCATGTACATGAAGAGAATGGTACCATAGAATATTATCACCACAGTCAGGTGTGCTGAGCAGGTAGAGAAGGCTTTGCTTCTCCCCTCAGAGGAATGGATCTTGAGGATGCTGGAAACGATTAATGAGTAAGACATAACAATGAAGAGCAGTGGCATCAAAATGAACAACGTTGTGGCCACAAGCATGATGAACTCATTACCTGAGATGTCAGCACAGGCCAACTTCATGACAGCCAGAATTTCACAAGAAAAATGATTGATGACATTATTCCTGCAGAAAGGCAACCGTACCACAAATGCAGTTTGCACTGCAGAGTTGACAACCCCTGAAAGCCAGGAGCCAGCTGCCATGGTCACATAGGAATTCCTGTTCATGATGATGAGATACCTCAGGGGATTGCAGATGGCCACATAGCGGTCAAAGGCCATCATTCCCAGGAGCACACACTCTGTTGTCCCCATGGCCAAGCCAAGGAACATCTGCACTGCACAGCCAGAGAAGGAAATGGTCTTTCTTTCTGAGAGGAAGCTCACCAGAGTGGAAGGAATTGAGGTGCTAGTGTAGCAGATGTCCAAGAAGGAGAGGTTCCCCAGGAAGAAGTACATAGGGGTGTGGAGGCGAGAGTCGAGTATGGAGAGTATGATGAGGGTGCCATTGCCCAGAAGGATGACCACATACATTAATAAGATGAGTACAAAAAAGAGTACCTCAAGCCTTGGGTAACCAGAAAGTCCCTTCAGAAAAAATTCCACCAGAATGGTTTGGTTTTCCCATCCCATTTTATCATCTCTCTTTCACCTGTAAGAATTCAAAGAATTTTTTATGTTTTATTTTTTATAGTAAGGACTTTTCTTCTTCTTTTTAAAATTTTTTATTTGTTTTAATTAGTTATATATGACAGTAGATGGGACATAATTTCTCATTCTTCTGAGTATACATATTGTAGAATCACATTGGGCATACAGTCACATACATGCATAAAGTAATAATGTCTGTTTCATTCTACATTCTTTCTTATCCCCACATCCCTCAAAGAATTTTTTAAATAATAATTTCTTCACTAAGAATATATCTTCCAACAGGGCAATTCTATAAACTTCTCACTTTGAATGTTTTTACTAAAATACCCATTATATCACCCAAGAATTAGGAATGGTGTTCATCACCTCCAAATCCTTCTTCAGAAGGTCATGAACCACCTCAGTGAATTTTTTCTCAAAAATAGCCCCTTCCTAATGATCCTATATACATGCATAAACACATACGAATTTCCAGTTATATCCTTGTTCAGCACAGAATCCATTGAAAGTGATCCAATCAATTCACAAAACAAAAAGTAATTTCTGGAATCAAACAGGCACTTAACACAGGACATTTCCCCTTCCTAATGAAACTTTATACAAGAGCAAAGTCTGAATTAAGGGCTTTCACCTATTTCACTCCTCTTCTAACTACCCACACTGCTCTGCCTTTAGCCATTATTAGAGTCTTTTTCTTTCAGTCTACTTTACCCTTTATGCTTTGAGATTTTTTTATACACTAAATATGAATATTTCTTTTTTATCTCAAGCCAAGATTTGCCTTCTTAATTCTATGTTATAGAGAACACCACCCAAATTCCTACTCCTTGATACATGGTGGCTAAGAAGCAATTTTACTTTAAGAATCATTCTTCTAAATACTGCCACCATACAACTTATTATCATGTCAGGTCCACTTTTCCTAGTAGAAAAAAAAACATGCATTTAAATACTATCTTAGTCAGTCATTAGTCCCATGGTCTTGGGTAATTTACTTCCCAGAGTCTCCATATTCCCATGCATAACAGGGAGATTTTAATAGCCTCATTATGAGATCCTTCCGAAAATAAATTAGGTAATGTATGTAAAGCACATAGCACATGGCAAGTACTATTTTGATTTCCTTCATCTTCTGGTGACTTGTTCTTCCATCATCCTTCTACAAGAGTATCTTCAAATATTATTTCTCAGTTACGCTTTGTCAGGCATCTCTCCTTAACCAATCCAATCTACTATTTTTCATCACATCTATGATTTGAGATGGATGCACACTATAGCAAAAGTTTACTCACTTTGCAATGAATAATCTTATACTATTATAACAAAAGTCCACGGCAGTTTGAAACAAGGAACTCACAGACTGACATTTGATAATAAACACTATTGCAGTTCATTCATCTAAAATCTAAATGTATGTGTAATACAAATATAATATCTAAAATTATCATAGAAATGCATCACTAACAACAGCAAAATGAAATACTCAAAACAAGCTTCCAAATACTTATGCAAACATAAGTCAGAATTTCTTCATGTTAGATAATGACTCATTGTTTCTCTTCATTTTCTTTTTTCACAAATCCAATGATGTATTCAAGAACAAGAAATGACACATTCCAAACTGCCCATGTAAAGGTTCTAGGACAGGAACAAGGTAAAACATTGTCTACTCATGATTACTATGGACAAACATTTGCTAAAGTGAACCCAACAAAGCTGAATTGGTGCTAAGTGGCAAATAGCTACAAAATCAGACCTTGGTGAAAACAACCTGCTTTATATTTTGATCAAGAGTTCAGATCTGCAAACTATTGTGACCTCATAGAACCAAAGAAAATGATAAATTTGAAGTGTAGACACTTGTAGTGAAGCAAGGAGTAGGAAATACATTCTGACCAAATAAATCTTTATTCCCTATTAGACCTAAACAACCATCTGTTTTAGAAGTTCATATTGCTTTGGATTTACAACTATTCTTTTGGTTGTTTTTCCCTCCCCCCCCCCAATTTTCTACCTATTATTTAAGACCTTTCTCTTGGAATCTTTATTCCTATTCCCTACACACTATTTCTAGTAGAAAATAGTCCAGCCTCACAACATATGTGTTCTTTCAACTCAGTTCATAAAGACTGACTCTTTCTTTTATTTGTTAGTTATTAGTATTTTTTCAGCAATTATCTCTAAAGGGATAGTCTTACCTAGTCAGGCTGCCACACATAGTTAAATTTTTCCTTGATCTTTGATTTTCAGGCTAGTCTACAAAAGTTTCTATGAGGCTGATGGGTTTCTAAAAAAAAAAAATTAAAAAAAAGTGTTACCTTTGGAGAGCCAGATGGACATAGAATTTGGAAAATATTGATGACAAAGTTACCATTTCCAAATTATTTCAAAATTTTCTGTACATTACAGTCAAAAGTGTTTCCAAAGGAAGTACAGTTTAATTTCACTAGTTCAGAAGGGAAGGGAGAACAAATATTCACTAGTTCAGTCTGAGAATGGGGCACATCGTGAAGGCCCAGTAAATTCTCTAAAGAATCTTTTTAGGCTCAGGAAGGCAATTTAAATATTTCATGCTCTTAGGGACTTCTGCAATTTTCTAAGCCAAAATGTTAAATTGCTTCAGGGGAAAGATGTTCAAAACTTTTTGAAACTTCAAGAATAATACCCTAAAGACTTAATTATATTGCTCACATTACTGTATTTTAAATAACAAATAAGAAGTCTTGAGGACATTCATTACCCCATTCCCAAGTTTCTATATACTCCTCAGATTCTTATTCCAAATGAATTTGTTCATCTATCTTATTATGTCCTATTGGTAAATGGAAGTTATTAGGCTACATGAATTCTTTATTAATTCTTGGTTATTAATAATAATAATATCTTACATATTTTATGCATTGTCATAAAATTTTTATATATGTTAATTTATTTAATTTTTTACATATATATAATATATACATATATATAGAGAGAGTTCATATTGTATATTCCCCCTTTGGTTTTCATGGAATGAACTTGACCACTGAGCCACATCCTCAGTCCTCTTTTGTATTTTATTTGGAGACAGGGTCTCATTGATTTGTTTAGTGCCTTGTTTTTGCTGAGGCTGGCTTTGAACTCACAATCCTCCCTTGCTTTAGCCTCCCAACCTCTGTGATTACAGGTGTGTGCCACCACACCTAGCTGTACCTAAGTCATATTTGATAAATCAGTAAAAGAAGAAAATGGTTTTACTATACTAATAATATTTGGCTCTGAAACAGATTGTAAATGTAGGTGGCATTTTGAAATTCACAACAAATTAAGAAATTTTTGAACTGTATGAAGGAAACCTAAAAGATATCAAGCTATTCAGTTTTTTATAGTGTTTTAAAAGGTAATTTGTAACTTCATTCTAATTGGGTATTCCAAAAAATTTACCTAATGGGATATATGTATCACCTATATTAATCACATTGGCATAATTAATATTTAATACATTGGCAATGGTAAATATGTGTAAGTTCCAGACACTCTGCGCCCCTTGGCCATCTGATCTCTACTCCTGCAGTAATGATCCCCCTTCATTGAATTACTCCACTCAAATAATGAATATAATTTGTTAACCACAAAACACTAAAATCACAGCACATAAGAAGAAATAAGTTAAAACTGAATGTTCCTCATTGTTTGTAATGTTTATTGATCAACCTGATCACACGAATTGATTCCTGGCCATCTTCTCAAGTCTCTCCACCTTATGGCTGAGCTTTCTTTTTAGGAACAGAACAACAACCAATTATTGTGGTTTTCTTTTTTAGAATCTATTTTACTTTTAAAAATCAAGTTTTTTGGCAAAGTTTTAATTGTTCTTTTATCAGTACCAAATAGGAGTGAAACCTGGCCTATCCAGTTTTCACTGCTCTGTTTATAAAGCCTCAATAGTTAAATAAAACTTATACTTTTATCAATCTCTCATTTAAGCTAGACACAGGTGATAATTTTATAAAGCAAATTTGCCCCTCGATAACAAGTATTTTAAAGTATACTATCCTTTCTGCCACAATCTAGGATGTGGGAAACATCAATGAGCATGAAGTGCAACACAGCCTCAGTGTGTAACATACACAAATGTGAAGAAATTGCCTAATCATTTATATTAAGGTTTTTACGTTATTTACTGAATCAATTTTTCTAATGTAATTAGGTATCATCTTCATTTGTTTCTTTTATGTGGAATTGTTTTGTTCTATCTAAATGTGTCTGTGTTAATTTTCAAAGTTAGGAAATTTTAGAAAAGATACCATGGTAATTTTTTTGATAAATCTTGTTCTGGATAAAAATGCAGAATTCTGTTTTTGTCTTTCTTTTATTTAACTATACTAGTATAAGTATTTTTTCAATGATATAAATTCTTCAAAAAATCTATTTAGTAATTACAAATAGTCCATTAAGTGAATGTACTATGACAATTTCATAATTCTCCATCATCAAATGATTATAGAAGGGTAACATGTAATGATAGCCAAGTTATCCAATACCCTAAAGCCTATGTGAAATCATTTATTAGTAACTATCCCTAGTCTAATATTTTTTTGTTCTCTTTATCCAAACAAATTTTGTGACTCCAACTTAGAGAAGTAAACATAAATGTAGAGAAGGTTTCTAGCAAAAAGATATTCAACACTATGCTCTTTTGAAAGGTCAAACATTTGGAATCAATCAATTGGTTTTTAACAGAGTTATTCTAGCATTGCAAAAGAAATACAGTTAATGGCCTCTGTGCAATTAATTATCTTTTTCTGAAAAGCACCTAAAGAGATGGGTGGATCCCATAGGGATGTTTTCAAGTAAAATCTTTTGGCAGCAATTACTTCAAGGATGTTAGAGTGCCAAATGTACAACCTTATCAGCATAAAATAATTGTTTATTGTCTGAAAGTAAATAGGACCAAACATTCTGGAGAAATTACATGAAAAGAAATCCCACGTGACTCATACCTTCTCTTATTAGCTTCAGTACAAACCTAACTATTGATGCTCATTCAAAGCCTCAGTGTTTTGGGTACACTAATAGTAGGCTGGTTGTGACTTACAGTCAATCAAATTCCAGTCACAAACAGTACCAAATAGGAGTGAATCTTGGCCTTTCCATTCTTCACTGCTCTGTTTATAAAGCCTGAATAGTTAAATAAAACTTAAATTAGATAAGAGTCCTTTCAAGAACCACTAGGATAAGAAATCATCTTTTATGTGGACCATGATTTAATTAGGGAGTAGCATAACCTGCCAACAAATGACCAACATAGCAAATCCTACATAATAACCAAAACTATTGTCTGAAGATTCTGATTCATTAATCATCCATTGAATGAGTTAATTTATTTATCTAGGACTATATTTTGTAGCAGAGGTAGAATACAATTCTATGATTCATTTACTATAAACAGGAAGGTCAACTGCTAACATTTACCAATTAAGTTTTTAAAGACTAAAATCATTTGCTCCTTACTGGTGGGTGCACATCTCAGGTACTTGAGCCAAACCAAAATTCCTTCCTTAGGAAAATGATGGCTCTAACTACAATTCATCAAGTGCACAAAGAATGACTTTCTTGGACAGGAACAGAATGCAGGCTCCATGGAAAGCAATGTGATTGCTTCTATTCCTTGAATCTAGCAACACAAAACCAAAATAAACCACACAGTAGTCTCACCTCCAAGTGTCACCAGAATGTTCTTTCACTTGGAATACAAATTGCCATCCACATAACATACCAATGATGCTTTCCAAGACATAGGAGACAGATGGTCTGAAAGGCCTTGCTACGCAATCGTGTTCTGAAGACAAGCAGCATCAACATCACCCAGGAGCATGTTAATAAATGAAGATCTCAGGACTGACATCAGACCCACTGAATCAGAATTATTTTCAAAGATTCCCCAAGTGATTGCTAGAAATTTTAAAGTTTAAGAATCACTCAAGCATATCCATGTTTTTTTCCCTGGGTTGCCCTTTAGAATCACCTGGAGAATATTATTTTAAAAGATGCCTGATTCCCAGCCCTTAGGCACCATCCATAATTGTTGGATAACAATAAAGTCTAATAATAAAAAATGCATGCATTAAAACAAAAAGCTTCTCCACAGCAAAGGAAAAAGAGCATGAAAAGAGAACCTACAGAATGGGAGAAAATCTTTGCCAGCTACTTTTCCAATAGGGAATTAATAAGCAGAATATAAAAAGAACTCAAAATAAATAATCGACTCAATAAATGAGTGAAAGATCTAAAGAGATATTTCTCAAAAGAAGAAATATAAATGGCCAACAAATATGTGAAAACATCTTCAACATCCTAGGCAATTAGGGAGATACAGATCAAACCTACACTAAGGTTTCAACTCACTTGAGTTAGAATGACATTCATGAAGAAGATGAATAATGACAATTGCTGTCAAGGATCAGGGGTGCATGGAAAGTACACTTACACAGTGTCAATGGGACTGCAAATTATTACAACCACTTTAGAAAGTAATAGAGCGATTTCTCAAAAAACTAGGAATGGAACCACTATATGACCTAGTGTGGGGAGCCACTCTGAATGACTTGTGCCTTCCGTCCTGAGGCCAGAGGCTTTGACCAGCACTACATTTCATAGTCATCTGGACATTGTCCTGGTTCAGGAAGTTGAGGGTGTGTCTTCAGATGTAGGCAATGCCCCTTGGGCTGAATTACACTCACTTGTCCCTTGTAACCCTGCCCCTCTGGCCTTTTTTTGGATGAAACTTTCTAAGAACAAGGGTGCTCCCAATAAAAGCCCACTTCCAAATGTGCTCACTGTCTCTTGCCAGCCTCTCATGACTTTCTCTTGCTCTCCCATTTGGGGAGCCTGAGGCCAAGAGCAGAGAAGCCGTCCTGAAGCTTGTTTAAAGGTAAAGTGTGTGTCTGTGTTTTATTTGGTGTCCCTGGAAATTCACACGAGCGACCTTAGTTCAGCTGTCTGTGCAGGTCAGGGGCAGCAACCTAGTTATTCTACCCCTTGGTATTTATCCACAATAATTCAAATCAGCATAATATAGTGATACATACATACCAACATTTATAGCAGCACAATCCACAATAGCCAAGTTATGGAATCAGCTTAAGTGGCCATCAGTCGATGAATGGATAAAGGAAATTTATTGTATATACACAATGGTGTTCTATTCTACCATAAAAAGGAATGAAATTATGACATTTTCTGTTAAATGGATGAAAATGTAGAACATTATGGTAAGTGAAATAAGCCAGACTCAGAAGATCAATGGTCAAATGTTTTATCTCCTATGCAAAAGTTAGAGGGGGAAAAAAGGAGTTTAAAAAGATAAACCTCATGAAAACAGAAGGAAAATCAATAGAGTAGAAGGAAGGACTAAGGGGAAAGGAGAAGGAGAGGAAAAGGGGGAAAATTAAGTTAACTAGATTATAAAAAGTGCATGCATATACCACAATTCATTATAATTTTATATAGAACTATAATGCATCAATTATAAATAAGTAGAGTAGAAGAAGGGGATCAGGGTAAGGGAGGATGGGAAGAAATGGGGTGGTACCAGGTATTAAATGGAGAAAACTGTTATATGCATTTATGAATATGTCAAAATTAAGCATATTATTATGTATAACTACAATGCACTAAAAAATACACAAGATTTAAAATCAGAAAAAGCAATTTTAATAACAGCCTACTCACTATGATTTTAAGTAAACTTCACCTCTCTGGATTTCATTTTCTTCACAGAATTACAGGGTTGATAAAATGAGTAAAACATGAAAATATTGTAAACTATAAACCCCTAAATCAATGGTATTGTTAATGATTGGTATGATATAGAATAAAGTAAATATTTTTAACATATTAAGACATGTGCTGAGAGCCATAGCCAAGTAGGAATGATGCATGGCATTTTGGGGTTGAAAGGTGACCCTGCTCAAGGATTAGGGTGGCTCCGGGTTTAGGGTGGATCCTGCTGGAATAGGGTGGCTCCAGGTTTAGGGCGGATCCTGCTGGGATTAGGGCATATCCTGCTGCCTCAGGCGCCCACTCCTAGAGTTCCCGTTGAGTTCTCGCGGGGTTCTGAGTGTATTGGTATGCAGAGCCCGGTGGAGGGAGTGTATTTTCCCAGAACATGCGTGTAGAGTGCCAGTGAGAGTTCGGGAATAAAGATTTGCTGTTTGAATCTACAAGGCTTTTGTGGTGGCTTGGTTATTTTGTGCCCAGCCAGACTGCAGCATTTGGTGGCCCGTACGGGGAACGCCTGAAGCTTGGAGGTAAGTGAAATTGCTCGTCCCTGAGGAAGAGCGAAAGAATGGGTGACCATTTCAAAAAACAATGTGTTCTTGTTTTGATTTATTTTGTTTATATTTCAAGTTGCCTGTCCCTAGAACTTTCTCAGGCAAACTGGGGAAAATGGTTGACTCAAGGTTTGAAGTTGTTCGCCTCCGAGGAAGAGAAATTGTGAGAGGAAGGAGGCACCCCAGTAAGACCAAGAACAATAAGGGCATATGTTGATACAATACAAAAATGTAGCCCTTGGCTTTTTAAAGACGAGTTATTAAGTATATCAATGGGACCATCATGGTATCCTGTAGAAGGATTTTTCTTCAACAAGAAAGAGATGGCTAGTTCTGTTTACTACATTTGTCTAAGATCTTGGTTTTTACAGACATTTGATTAATTTACAAAGCTAAAGTGTTAAAATATCAACCACTAAATATAAAATCAAGTACTCTTTACTTATTAAATAAGGTAATATATTTAAACATTATGTGTGTTTTCATAAATTGGTGAATGGAAAAATGTTTAATATTGCTTTGTGTCTGTATCTTTGCTGAAACAAGGTTACTAAGAGTTAAGATTCTATCAGGTATAATTTATATACAAAGAGTAGAAGAAGTTTCAGTTGGGTTTCAATTATAGTATTATAGTACCATAAAAAAATGAAAATATTTAGAGTAATTTATCTAAATTCAGAAATTTTATAAGGGTTGTTTCACAATGTAAATTTTTAAAAAGGATTAACGGCTAAAAACGATTCAAGATGTGGAAATATATTTTAATATAAAGGTTAAAAAAAAGAAATGTTTCTCGATGAGATAATCTCTGTGTGGTAAAGTAAAAAGTTGTAAAATGCCATTTAAAAAGATTTTGAGGAAACTAGACTTACTTTAAAAGGTTGAGAAAGGAAGAAAGAAGAAAAAGGTATTTGTACATGGCAGATTGAGACAAAGATTCTTAATGGAGTAAAAAAAAAAAAGCCTTTAGTTGAAGGGCAGCCATGTAAACTAACATTAAAGCGATTTAAACAGAATCTAAGCCTCGTTTAAAAGAGTGAAGCTGTAGGTGGTGAAAAAGTACATTTAAAAGTGCAGTATAGATGATAATTGGAAGGCTTTAAAAGGTTAAATGAAGGTGGTCAAGATACCTTCATGGCAGAAAAAAAATTGCTTTACTCACAAAACAAAAATCCCATACAATCCAGGGACAAATCATAGTTAAAAGAGCTCATCAAACTATTAAAATGTACTTATTAAAGCAAAAAGAGGGAATTGGAAAGGGGTATATATCCCCCAAAGATAAACTTAAAATAATCCTTTTTAGTAATTTGTCCAAATCAGAAATTTTATAAGAGTTGTTTCAGAATGTGAATTTATAAAAAGGGTTAATGGCTAGAAAAGAGATATTAAAAGATTCAAGATGTGGAAATATATTTTAATATGGAAGGTTAAAAGAAAAAGAAATGTTTCTAGATGAGATAATCTTTGTGTGGTAAAGTAAAAAGTTGTAAAATGTCTAAGTAAGTTACAAAAGGCTTTAAAAGGTTAAATTGAAGGTGGTTAAGATGCCTTCATGACGGAGGAAAGATTGTGTCATTCAAAGCCTAGTTAATCCTAAAAGCATTACTTAAAAAAAAACATGAAAATGGGAAGATAATAGGATAAAAGCAATTTGAAGAAAGAATATTAGAAATTTGAAGTGAAAAACTTTGAAGACAGAAGTACAGAAAGGTGAAAAAAAAGAGAAGATGTAGGAAGATAAAAAAGATGTAGGAAGACAAGAATTTTAGACCCACAAAATAGGAAACAAACAAAAAAAACTAGGAGGAAAAAAAGCAACTAAGGGTGAATGTAAAAACCTTAAAAGAAAACTAGAAGATAGAAACAAGATAAAAAATGGTTAAAAATGTCAAATAAAGGTATTTCAGATAAAAAATGCAAAAAGCTAAGACAACTATTAGATACTGATATTCAAGACAGAAAAAGGTAGAAGAGAGAAGTTTAAAGTCAAATACTGGATAAAATAGAAGACCAAGGAGATTATTAGTATTTTTTTTCAAGAAGCCCATCAACTTTAATTTCTGGTGGTGCAGAAATTAGAAGTCTCAGATGAGGGTGTTAAAATTTGCAGACAAGAGCCAATTTAGAAAACATTAAACTAGAAGGAATTTGGTTTAAAACCACATCAAAAAATTAAAAGGACTAAAGTAATTCTAAAAACTAAGGCAAAATGCTTTTGGAAGACTTAAATTTAAAAGGATCTTTAAATTTCCAAAGGATGCATATAGGATATTTTGGAACATCATCCCTGAAGAAAAATCAGTTAATGTTTTACTTAACAGGAATCCCATACAATCCACAGGGACAAAGCATAGTTGAAAGAGCTCGTCAAACTATTAAAATGTACTTATTAAAGCAAAAAGAGGGAATTGGGAAGGGGTATATATCCCCCAAAGATAAACTTAAAATAACCCTTTTTACTCTAAACTTTTAAATTTGGATTCATCAGGGCTCAGTGCTGCGGAAAGGCATATGTGTCCAAAAAATGTACATAAGCCTAAGGTACTTTAGAAAGATATTCTAACAGGACAATGGAAAGGTCCTGACCCAGTGATTGTCTGGAGTCGGGGTTCTGTTTGTGTGTTTCCACAGGGAGAACAGCAGCCAATTTGGATTCCAGAGAGACTAACCAAAGTGATTTCTACAGACCAAAAAGGAGATGATTTGACTCAAATCCATAACAGCTGATATCCAGAGCTCCAGCTTGGCTATTCTTACATCTGTGACAGTGATTAACCAGGATGCTTTTTTCAATATCTATTTTATTATTGCATTTTTCCACATCATAAAGTTCTATTTTATTTTTTGAGCTCATACAGACCTAGGTTAATGTTTTTCTGATCAGTTTTATTTTTTGACTATGGAGTTTTTAAACATTGCAATAGAGATTTCACCTGTGTAAAGCTACAAGGACTTTACTATTGTCTTATGTGTTGTACGTTTCTGTGCACACTTGTGTTTTGTGTTGTATGTCTGTATGTGCGTATGTCCATATATCATATATGAGGAGCGCTCATGAAAAATGGATCCGAATATTTTTTATTTCACATGATTTTAATGGTTTAATTTAAATTGGGTAAACAGCTGTTGAGGATTGTTTTAATATGTGTACAAATAAGGAGGTTAACAGATCTGTTTGTTTACTTTCACCTTTCCTTTTCATTATATTTAATAATTCTGTTCAGGATAATGTAAATTGTTCAGAAAATTGTTTTCTTAGTACCTGTTGGAATGTTACATAATTTCGTTTTAGCATCATCGCCAGAATTCCTATCTTCATCCCAGTGCCGGTGAAGACAAAGATAAAACCAAACTACAGCTTCTATGATAGTTATCACAGTAAACTGTATAAACTGATGCATCAGTGAATAATAACTCAACAAGTAATGCTCAATCAAGGAGTTGATTTACTTTGGGAGGAAATGGACATATTGATAGATTCCTCCGCTTTGAACTGCTTGCAGAACTTGCCTGGACTATGTATCACTTGTATGCTTTGTGAACTATCTGTTGGTGCAGCAAATTGTGGTAGTGCTGGCCTATCTTTGCTGATGGTGTCACCAGTGATACAATTTTTCCAAAGGAGCCGTCAATGGCTTGGTGTCGTGGCATTTCTGTATCCTCCTCCCTTCTGCTAGTGATGGTCTAAAATTTGGGGGCCAACAGAGGTGAGGCAAAGAACCTCACCCCCCCACTGGCACCAAGGCCAAATTTGGGGGCCAACAGAGGTGAGGCAAAGAACCTCACCCCCGCACTGGTGCATAGGCCTATCCACAAGTATGGCTGTATGCTGGACCGGTAGTCAGTGACGGGTATGATCCAACTGCAGTGGTACCAACCTAAGACAGGAGGCTGATGCCTAGAGGTCAGCTCATCCGATGACGGGTAAGGACCATATGTTGAATTGGACAACCTAACAGGCACGGTCCCTAAGCCACATTGCTTGTTGTTTATTTAAACAGAACGGGGGAGATGCTGAGAGCCATAGCCAAGTAGGGATGACGCATGGCATTTTTGGGTTGAAAGGTGACCCTGCTCAGGGATTAGGGTGGCTCTGGGTTTAGGGTGGATCCTGCTGGAATAGGGTGGCTCCAGGTTTAGGGCGGATCCTGCTGGGATTAGGGCATATCCTGCTGCCTCAGGCGCCCACTCCTAGAGTTCCCGTTGAGTTCTTGCGGGGTTCTGAGAGTATTGGTATGCAGAGCCCAGTGGAGGGAGTGTATTTTCCCAGAACGTGCGTGTAGAGTGCCGGTGAGAGTTCGGGAATAAAGAGTTGCTGTTTGAATCTACAAGGCTTTTGTGGTGGCTTGGTTATTTTGTGCCCAGCCAGACTGCAGCAGACCTGCCTTCTCTAAAATATTTATTCTCAAAGTGGAATTTGTGGATCAACCAAATCAACAAAAACAGATAATAAAGGAAGGTAATTGAGGGAATGGAAGGTGAGAGGGAAAAAAGGGGTACTGGGAAGTGAAATTGACCAAATTATGTTATGTGCATGTACAAATATATTACAATAAATCCCACTATTATTTATAACTAAAATGCACCAACAAAAGCATAAAATAAAAATACAAAGGGTTCTTCCCTCCTTTAAATCTCATGCATCACAGTCTCCGAAAATAGAATACAGAAGTTGTACATTTAGCAAGCTACAAAAGCAGCTCAATTGCTTCATAAGTTAGGAGAACCTCATGAACTAATCTCTCTGTTTTTATCACTGTTCCAGGTAGTGATAGCATAGTTGTAGGACTGACCTCCTACTTCAATTACCAATTCACATGATATGGAATCACTCATTTAATTCACACACTGTTTCCTTTTCTGAATTACTCTGGATTTGAAAAATAAAATGAAAAAAAAATTGGACGATTGAAATTGAGTTCATCCTGTGAGGTCTTTCTGAATACCCAGAATTAAATAAAAATTTTTTTTCTGTCATATGTTTAGTGATGTAACTGGAATCATATAATCCTTCCCTGGAACAGCATCTAGGTTTTCTACTTCCTCCTACCTAAGTATATAACCCCTCCTTTCTGAACATCTAGGTTTCATCCCTGTTGTCTCTGCAATACTGATAAACTTCTTATCAGAGAAAAAGACTCTTTCACGGGATGTAATACGTAAGTGTCTGTTTCCAGTTCATGGGGTTCATACTGTGCTTCTGGCAGTGATGGCGTATGACTTCTATGTGTCCATCAGCAAATATCTAAGTTTTCCCATCATCATAAATAAGAGTCCTTGTATTTAGAAGGCAGCTTTTCTTCATGGATTAGGCTTTTTCAACAAACTGGCATAAATGTACTAACATTACAAATGTCCTTTTGTGGAAGAAATGTCATTCATTGATCATTTTTCTGAAATAGTATCTTTAATGAAAGTAGTGTGCATACATATTTCCTAGAACGATAGTATGTGTTGGGCAATGGAATGTTTTCAGTTACTCCATTACTGCTAATTTCTGCTTTCTATATTTTTACCACCCATGCTATACTGAAATCAATTCAGCTGGAAGAAGTAAAAAGGTTTCTTCTGCATGCTCAGTCCACATGAGAGAGGAGATTGTGTTTTATGAAATATGTTTTATGTAAATGAAGCAAACATACAAAAATCTCTTTCAGACAAACTAATAGACTTGGTCTATTGTGTAGTTACCCTCATGTTCAATTCTATTATCTGTAACCTAAGGAATAAGGTGCTTGAATATATGAAGAAAATTGATGAGTGGACACTGGTGCTGGAAGAAATGATGAGAAACTGACACCTTTGAGTTCATAAATAAAATAAGCTGACATATTTTGAGGCAAAATTTTAAATACAAGCAGAGCAAAGAAAGGAAGATATGTGTGGAAACAATGCTAGAGTTAGAAATTTTAGTATTAATCTAACTACATCACTTTATGAAAATGATCTCACAAAATGTAGAAATAAGTTGTCTAAGTAGTACAAACAAGTAAACTTACAAGGTCAAGATTTAAAAAAGTGAAATTAATCTTATCCAAGAAAATCCAACACATATGGCTTCTGAGCAAATTATATTTGTTGGCCTCTTCCATTTGGAAAATCTTTGATACATTAACTTATTTACCATTATTTTTATATTTTACCCAGGGACTTTATCTAGTTCCAATTTATGTTTCTGGCTAGGTATTTCATCTTCTTTTCATGACCATGTTTGTTCCCATTACTTTCACACATACTGTGTTCATTCACCATGTAGTTTTATAATTACTCCACGTTCTTTCACACCTAAGGACAATAATAACAAATGCTATTTCCTCTGTATTGTCACTTTCCTTCCCTAGTGAAATCTTAGCAATGTCAGAAGGGACAGGTAGAATGTCACAATCTCTGCAAAGCCTTCTAATATTGCCCTCGAGTTGGTTATTCCTTACTCTGTGCTGCTCTGACCCTTACCTTTACTACCATGGTTTTTCTTTTATGCTATAACCATTTGTTAGCTTCTGAAATCTCAATGTCAGAACCATGGCTAAGTGTTCATTATATAAAGTCCAATGCCAAGTTAAATAAATGGTTGACGGTAATTAACTGTTGAATGAACTAATTAATTAAAATTGAAAAAGGATAGTAAAAATACAAGTCCAGGTATTTGAAATAAGAAAAGTGGATATTATATATCATTCCATCCCCAAAATCACAATTCCAAACACTGTTGGTAAAATATCAGCTTACCTTAAAACATAGGAGGAAACAGGTAAGAAAAGACTGACTAAAACAAACTGAAAAAGTCATCTGGTCTGGGCAAGACAAAAAGCATAGAAGTGTACAATATTCTCTGATAATCAATTGGCAAAAAATATATATATATATATAAAAATCACTGACTCTCATTCATAAGCAAATATGTAAATTTATTCTAAATATTTTCTCTTCATAAAATCTTGACTTTGGGTGGCTAATGAAGTGCAATATATGCTATTGTTGCTTAATATATCATCACTCTTCTTGGTTTGTATTTTGCCCCAATGTTACTACAAACTCATATTCAAAATTTAATAAAAATCTTTAAAATAATTCCAAATATTGTAGGTTGACCTTTTAGAAAATGTTGTACTCTAAAAATACTTTGGAGTAAATGTTTCTTTCGAAGGAAATTCAGTTTGCAGCACATGAAAAATCCTGATTCAAAAACAAAATTCAGAATCAACGTATTAATTCTCCTTCAGAGAAATGTCAGCATGCATATGAGGCAAAACAACTGTTCTGATGCTTTATAACAATTTCTCTTTTACGTTCTTGTCCTTCTGAAATGTCTTTTGAGATATTTCCCAACTCAGCTAAGCATAAGTCGCCCTTTCCTTCCTGGGACACCACCCCCACTTCAAGGGAAATTTTACATACTCCCTTCAAAAACTCTTCACATGCTACACTGTAGTTGAGAATCTCCACCACCACCACCATCACCCCTTAAGTCTGTTACATACCCAAATTATGCTCATCTATAGCCAGTCTTAGAATGTTAAAACTGCAAAAAGAAACTGAATCCATCACAAAATGTCTTAAAGAATATTGTTCATCTTTATTGAGATTACTAAGACTCAATGAGGTAGTGCCACACAAAACCAGCATCTAAACTTCCCCAAAATTCTATTTAGTTGTTATTTTCCTTTTTCCCTAATTCCATTTTTGCAGTATCTCATTCTCTGTCTTTGAAATCTCTAGTATGCACTGCTTTCTTCCTTACTCCACTGCCCCCTCTTTCTCACTGAACCCCTTTCTTTCTTTCTCAAAGATGGTTCAAATACTTTCATATGAAGATAGCATATGACCACGTTTAAATTACTCCCAGTAGGGCTGGGAGTGTAACTCAATGGGTTTGATAAATTAATTAATTAATCGCTCCAAGTCTACCCATTACTCTGCTCAGCCCAACCAAGACCCAAGACCAACTGGGGAGAAGTAATTTTTTTTTTATATTTTTGTCCCTAATTAATGTTAGTCTATATTCCAAAAAACAAAAACAAAAAAAAGTCTTCCTCATGTTCTGTATTTTTGTTTTTCCAGGTTGTTTAGTTGTGTTATTTTTTTCAATAGTTAGAACAGTGCCTGAGACAATACAGGTATCAATAAATACTTGTTGATTAAATAAGTAACAAATAACTGAATGAATGAAAGGAAAGCTCCTATTCTACAGGAAATTCATGTAACTGCAGAAATAGCTAATTTGTTAAACTATACTAAATTATCATTAGTAAATTACTATTGTGTTCTTAGAGAACCTTGTCAAATTCTTTAGAAACTAATTTTTCAGCCATTAAACAATAACAATGTTAAAAGATAATAACAATATTTCTTATTTGAAGATACCACTGCTCACTGACTTAAACACAAGATAGACCAAAACTCACTGTCAGCTGGATAAACAAAAGGTGACATTGCCCCAGGTGTCTTTTCATGGTAGGTGGGGTGCTTGCCAGATAGTAACCAAAAGGAAATCAGACCTAGGGGATATAGCTTCATATTTTTCAATGAAAATGACATATGTCCAGTCAAGGTACCCAATACCCAAGTGTTCCTCCATCCCCTCTATATGACCATATCTATCTCATTATGGGTCACTTTATTTTGAATTTATATAGTACTCTGACCCTTAACAAGACCCTTCCTACTAGATTTTCTAAGAATGACGTGACTATAAAACTGATTCACATAGAAGAGATTAAGTTATTAAAATGTTATTTCCCTTTACATAAGATTATAGAACTCATCATTTCAGAGTTAAACTAAACTTCATTATCCATGAGAAAGAGGGAGATTTGGATGAGAATTTTTTATTCATAAATTTCTGTCTCTCCTCTTCTTCAACCTATTGTGAAGGGAAAAGGTTATCCCTACATTTCTCTTTCATTTAAATATCAGGCACAAAAAATTAAGAATTTGAAAAATTAGTGGCACCACTAGTCCTTATATTTATTTTCGAACCACCAAGTAAAAACTACCCTTGCATTTAGAGTAAAACAATAAAAAAATAGAGTAGCATTTACATTCCTTGCAAAAAAGGTTTGCGACACAGTATATTCTTCACAGCTGCCTTCACATCTTTGTTCCTCAAACTATAGATGAGGGGATTGAGCATGGGTGTTACCACTCCATAGAAGAGTGAAATGATTTTGTCTGTGACTTGTTCTTTGTCAGCCCCTGAAGAGTCTTTAGCCTTGGGTTTTGCATACAGGAAGAGGATGGTCCCATAGAATATAATAACCACTGTTAGGTGGGCGGAGCACGTGGAAAAGGCCTTCTGTTTTCCCTCTGCAGAAGGAATCCTCAGGATGGTGGAGAGAATGAAAACATATGATATAAAAATAAAAAGTACTGGGGCCACAAGAAAAATCACATTAGCAACAACCATGCTAATAATATTAATGGATATATCAGCACAGGCCAATTTTAAGACCGCCAAGATTTCACAAGTAAAATGATTAATGACATTATCACCACAGAAAGGAAGCTTCATTGCAAGCGAAGTCTGCAACACAGAATTGACAGCCCCTGCGATCCAGGACCCAGCAGCCATGGGCACATAAGAAGTCTTGCTCATAACGATGGGGTATCTCAGAGGGTTACAGATGGCCACATAGCGATCAAATGCCATCATACTTAAAAGGACACACTCTGTGGCTCCCATAGCAAAGGAGAGAAACATTTGCACTCCACATCCAGAGAAGGAGATGGTTTTCTTTGAAGTTAAGAAGCTGCTGAGAAATAAGGGAATAGAAGAACTAGTGTAGCAGATGTCCAAGAATGACAAGTTACTGAGGAAAAAGTACATGGGGGTGTGCAAGTGGGAGTCACAGACACTAACAGTGATGATGACTCCATTTCCCAACAGGATCATCAGATACATGCAAAGGACCAGCACAAAGTAAATGGCCTCAAGCTCTGGGTAACCTGTAAGCCCCAGCAGGACAAATTCTGTCACAGAAGATTGATTGTATTTTCCCATGTTAATATTTTCTTTCACCGACAGGAATTCTATACCAGCTAGAATGCATGTGATCTGCTGCAGGAGTGTCTGTAAGAACTGTTTACCTTCTTAAGTGGATTCCCTCATGGGCAATAAAGACCTATAATTGAATATACAAATAACACAAGAATACATTACTATCCTTGAAGTTAAGATCAGTTAGACTTTCATATCTCATAAAAGAGGTTTAGCTCTAAATTAAATGTCCTTCTTAGAGAATAGATTAAGAATACATGCAACTGGGTTAGAATTATGCAACTCATTTGCATTATGAATTTAAAATTACTTTAATGTAATGTCACATTAGTATTTTGACCAAATAATTCAGAATAAATCTAAAATGTATCAAATAACATTGGCCAACAAGCATTTGACCATTTTAAAAATCATGTATGTCATAACAATTTTTTCTGAATAACCAATATGATATCCTTAACAAAAATGACTGCTCTTCAGTTATTAAAGCAAAGCAGCATATGTAAATCCTGCTCCAAAGGTAATTTAACCTCAGTTTCAGAAGAGTTTTGGAGCTCAAAGGACAAATAGAAAAGAAGACGTATTTTTTGAAAAAGGACTTTTGGTTGTTTTTAATTTGGGGGAACTATAAGTGCCTGCAACATCCTAAGAATATTAACTACAGCATGTTGGTAAACAAAACAAGAAACACTGTTAGGTAGAACGATTTTTCTTTCTGTCTTTGAGTAACAATCAGGAAGTATCTGTAAAACATTATATTGTCCTGCCTGATGCACACAATGAATAATAAATTGACCTCAGGAAAACACTAGTGCCCAGTGTCAAGCTACAATCATAAATGTACAAATTACAAAATTTCAGTAACAAGAGATTTACTCTTTTACCTTCAGGTAGGAGAAAATGTGTATTACCTCCTCTTTGCACAGATGTCAGCTTCCTCTGCTCTAACACCAGAGCTGGGGTCTTCTCCCTGCATATTTAGCAATACTTATGACAGTAAGGAGTAGGCCACTAGAAAATTCTTAATGTAGCAATTTTCTATAATTATTTGTATCCCCATTACATTGGAATATGGAGTGTTTCTATATTAAAATGCCAAAACCAGAAGTCCTGCATTTTTACAAGATTGCTAGTCTCATAATTTCCACTTCAATAATTTCAGCAAAATAAATAAGAACTATCTACTTCCCAGTTCTCATTAAAATCAAGTTGCTGGCATTGGAAAAACCAATTAACCAGTGGCAAAACAGAAACGACTTCCAGTAATGATGAAAGCTGGGGCTCTTCACAGTCTTCTTTACTACTAGAGGATCCTTTAAAGGATCAGCCAATGGAACACCAAAGCAACTTAAAGTGTTTGCTGCTTTGAGAATGTTTCTAATCCCCAAAGTAATTTAAAGTTCACTTCCTAGTAATTTTGGGATAAAGTCCCTCAGAAGCAATTAAAACAAAGTAGCTAGTACAATTTAATTGTATAACTTGCAAACCAGCAATAATTTTTCCAGCTCACACTCTCTGGGAAGAGCAAATGACTACTACCCAGGTAAAATGATCAAGAGATAGAAATTAGAATGGACAATATTTAATGGAGAGATATGTCAGAAATCTGTGACACTTGGTTCAAAATGATACTTTGCTCTCGATAATTGCCAATTATCTTTACTTTGACCTTCAGTACTAGAGTCCCAGATCCCATAAGCATCATTCTGGTATCATTGGTTCCTCTAAACAGACATAACTATAAGCACAGTCATTTTAATTTTGCTTATCCATGTCTCTGTTCAAGTATATACACAAGGTCCCAAACTTATCCAACCTTTCCTTTACTTAAGCTCACAATGGCCTGGCACAAAAAGTAATAGAAATGCAACAATTTCAATGGCTGAGAAAAACCATAGTTTACTTTAGAACAGGAAAATAAATTCTGACTTGAAATAATTATTAACTAAATGTTATTATAATTAATAACATTTGCCTTGACTATCTGTTGAAATGAATGTTAACTCATGAAAATTCAATTCTTTTACATGGATATTACAAAATATACTTTTTGTTTCAAATTCTGAAATTAAATGGAATCACTATGTGTAGTGTTAAAAAAAAGAGAATAAAATTTGACAATATGATTCATTTTTGTCAGTGAAAAATATTTTTAAATGTCATTGAGGAAGAAATACAGCATAGAAAAGCAACATATGCCATGAAAGATGTTATGACTTTCTTCAATAAATAAAATTTGAAAATCAATTCTCAGAGTTGTTAACTATATGCAAAGACATGCTCAGTATACTGGCTCATAATGCAACTGTTGAGAATTTTTCACTCTAAACAATGTTCAATGAACAGAAGAATTAAGTAGGTTGATGTGGCCACTGTAAAGGCCAAAATCTTCATCATGCCAGTTTAGGCCCCAATTTCCTTAACAAGACTCCTAAAGTGCAAGAAATAAAATCAAGAATCAATAAATCAAAATATTTAATCATCGATAAATCAGAAATCAATAAATCAAAAGTCAGCCAAAGAAACAATCAATGAGGTAGAGACAGAGCTTACTGAATGCAAGCAAATTTTTACCATATGCACATCAGATAGAGAACTAACCTCCAGGATATATAAAGAACTCAAAAAAACATAATACCAAAAGGAACTTTCAACATGCACCCAGTTGGTCAGAAGTCCCTGAGGCTCAGATTTGCTTTTGGCATCTAAAGTACGGGACAATCTTGTGGCACTGAGCCCTTTACCTGTGGGATCTGATGCAAACTCCACGTAGGTAGTGTCAGAATTGAAATAAATTGTAGGACAATCCAGTGAAGTCAGAAAATTGCTTGATGTGGAGAAAATACACATCTGGTTATCTCATGTCAGAAGTAAATTGTTGACAGAGTGTTCTGTGTTGAAAATACAATAGGAGAATTATAGTTTTTCCTATTATTTACCATATGCCTATGAACATATTAAACTAATAATAGTTACCATGTCTGGAATTATGGATGAATTTGATTTCTTCATTTAGGGTTTCCCAAATTTCCCAGATTTTCTTCAATTAATATGTATTATTGAATTATAAAAATTTAGTTTATTTTTTAAAAAATAAGCTATTGCTTAATAAATAAGATACAATTAGTTCTTTGAGACAGTATTATTAAACTTTTAGGACCTACTATTTCCCACACAGATGAGAAATATCACTTTAAATCACTTCTGGGATTACAAGAGTCTCTTTGAAGAAAGCAAAGAAGGATTTATATTCTCTACTGGAGTCTCCATTTAGTTCTCTGGAAAGTATTAGGGCTCAAATGTCAGAGTAAACCTATATTGTTTGCTGTTGATACAAATTCAAGGTAGAACATTTAAGCAAGACTTACCTTTAGTCTGTTCCCTTTGAGATTACCCATGATAGCCTGGAATGGTGGAATTCTTTTTTATTATTATTTTTAACTAAAACATAAAAATTGTACATATTTATGAGGTACCAAATGATGTTTCAATACATGGGCACATTGTATAATGTTTTCTATCAGGTTACACTTATCTGTCTCCTCAAATGTTTGTAAATTATAGTGACAATATTTAAAATCTTTTCTTTCAGGTTTTTAAATTATACAATATCTTTCCACTATCTATAGTCATCCTACTGTGCAATAGCACATCAGAATTACACATTTCTATCTAATTATAATTAATTTCCCACTCATCAACCTTTCCCCACCCCATCCCTCTAATCTGTCCAGGTTCTGATGATCAACCATTCTACTCTCATTTCTAGCAACTTTTTTTGTACCACAAAAAAATAAAAAATAAAAGCAACAGCCATCTTAAACAAAACAGAACAAAGCAGGAGACATTAAACTACTTGACTTCAAAATATATCACAAAGCTGTAGTAATAAAAACAACATGATACTGGCAGAAAAGCAGACACTGAGAGCAAGAGAACAGAATAGAGAGCTTAAAATTAAACCCTCACATTTGAAGCCAAATGATTTTTGTTTTAGTCAGCTTTTTTGCTGTTGTGACTAAAGGACCTAACCAGAACAATTTTAAAGGAGGAAAAATTTATTTGAGGCCTCACAGTTTCAGAGGCCTTAGTCCACAGAGGGCCAGCTTCATTCCTCTGGGCTTGGGGTGAGGCTGAACATCATGGCAGGAGATGGTGGCCAAAGGAAGCAGCTCACATCATGGTGACCAGGAGGCAGAGAGAGACTCAACTCTCCAGATAAAATATATACACCAAAGCCACACCCTGATTCCCACCTCCTCCAGCTATACCCTACTACTTCAGCCACCATTCAGTTAATGCCTATGAGGGGATTAAATCACTAACTGGGTTAAGACTTTTAACAGTCAGATCATTCATTTCTCTGAACCTTCTTGCACTGTCTCACACAAGGACAACTCATGTCCAAATCATAACAATTTTCAAAACAGAGGCTAAAAACATGCTCTGAAGAAAGAATAATCATTTCTTTTTTCTTTTTTTTTTTTTTAGTTGCAGATGGACATAATACCTTTATTTTATTTGTTTTTATTTTTATATGGTGCCAGTGATTGAACCCAGTGTCTCATGCATGTAGGCAAGCACTCTGCCACTGAGCCACAACCCTGGCCCCAGGATAATCATTTTGATAAATAGTGCTGGCTAGCCACATATGGAAGAATGAAACTAGACCCCTATCTATCTCTTACCACTTAAAAAACTTAATATAAATATTTGAATGTGCTCACAAGAATATACCATGAAAAAGTAGTACCTCTGCAGCGATTCTTTGCACAAACCAAAGGACAAGATGCTACCATGAAAATACTTGTTGAGGGCCACAGCCAAGTAGGGATGACACATGGCATTTTTGCCAGAACAGAGTGGTTGAGAGGTGATGCCAGCAAGCCATTGAGATGATGATGGTTATGTTAAGCTGTGTATTCAATTGTATATTAGACCCCTGCTGTCCTTTTGGCCTGCTACTTTGGAGTTCTCAGGGGATTCCTGGGGAGTTCACGTTGGTTGGGGAAGTGCCTGAGGAGGGATTTGGGGAGGAGGGATTTCCAGTTGGTAGGGAAGAAGAAGAAGAAGGCCTTGTGCATGGAGTTCATTTG